CACTTGTGCTAAGAGCGTCGGTTCCGCGACCAACAGCTCCTCGTGCAGCTTCAAAAAACGATTCAAGTATGCTTGAAGCACCTGAAAATCACGGCGAGTGCGCATCTCCTCATGCAAAAATTCCAGAAAGAAACCCAATAGTTTCTTGCCCTCTTCATCGAAGTCACCCATGCACAGCGTGCTCACTTCAACGTCTACTCCTGAGGCAGAAAGCGACTGAATGTACGCGGCTACCTCATTGAAGCGCGAGCCTGTGTGATCCTCAAATTTCTCTTCCTGCACCGCCTTTGCCAGCAACGTCGCCAATTTGCAACGAGAAGTAACCATACCCTCCGTCTTGACAATCCGTGAGCTTAGAGCAGTCATGTCGGCTTCATCTTCTTCGTCGTCATCACCCCACGCCTCATCGTCATCACCAATGCCCCAACCTTTGATGACCATATCTTCGTCGCCCTCCTTCTCACCCACTTTGTTCGCTTCAGGAGAAGCGGGGACAAATGTAGGGTGTACATCGTCCTTGCGCGCTGTTTGAAGGAAGAAAGGAGCCTGCTCCGGGGCCTTGGGAGGCTCGATAGGCTTGTTACGTTTCTTGATAAGCTCAAGATTAAACAGAGACTGCCAGAATGCACGTGGGGCCATTGACAGTGTAATGAGTGAAGCATCCAGCGGGTCCGAGCTCTCTTCGCTGTCTACCTTCTTTGTGCTTTCAGGCCGCTGCTCGTTAACACTTGTCACTGAAAGTTGAGGGTTACGTTCAGTGCCAAATCCAAGCTGGTCGCTATTGTCCACCTCATTGAGAGGCACAGGCATGTCCATAAGCACGGGCTTACTAGGCTCCGAATCTAAGAATACTTCTGTAAAGAGGCTGCGGTTTGCCCACAAGAAAATGCCAACATTGCCCACGTGCGTAGTAGCAAGAAACTCGCCTGTAGGCGACACAGCCAAACCAGTCACAGGTTTTTGAAACCGCATCCAGTCGACACACTTGCCCGTCGGGATATCCCATACGCGCAATGATGCGTCAGCCGATGATGAGAATAGCCACCGAGCATCCGAGCTGAAAGTCATGTCCGTCACACGGTGCGAATGTCCAGCAAAACGACGCACAAGCTTGTAGGTTGTCACGTCAAAGAGACGAAGCACTTGGTCATCACACGCCACACATAACAAGTTACTATCGCGGTGCAATTCCATCTGGCTAATAGGAGAGCCAATGTCGATCTCATCACGCAACTCATGCTTCTTGAAGCCCCAGAATTTCAGTTTGCCATCGATTCCTGCAGAGACCAGGGTGTTATTAAGAGCATCAACAGCCACCGCACTGACAGGTCCGTCATGAGCATCAGCAGCGGTTGTATCAGTTTCATCGTCCTGTAGTGCTGACAAATCTGTCCCAGGTAGCACGAGCGAGCGAATAATCTCCGGCTTCGGGGTTGCTGCCACCGGAAACGAACCACGAGCTTCTCCGGACTGCATGTTGTACTGATAAATAGCTCCGCCCAAACTACCAACAAGTGCATAATTACCACACGAACTGATAGCCACGCTAGTAGCCTGTGTCTTTTTGCGGCGCAAATCTTCGACGCTGCCAGATGGAGTGCGGTTGCTCGGGTCAAACTGACGAAGCACTTTCTTGCCGATAACGCGGTGATCGAAGCGCCACACGTAGGCTGCAACTTCGTTCTCATGGCACGTAATTACGTTCGCCCAATCGCGGGCGCGTGTCTCCATAGCAGCAAACTGCACGATAGGCGGAAGCTTCAAGTCCTCCACGCGCACATTTAAGCTACGCGCTTTTTTAAGAACTGGGCCTTGGGACAGCTCCCTGCTCTGCTGCTCACGAGCCGTGTGGAAGACACGGAAAGCCCGGTCCTGACCAGCCGACAAAATCTGACAGCATGTGCCGTCAGCACCGTCTGCCATTGTAGAAAGGGTGTTGTTACCGTAATACCGAATGCGCGTCGGTGGCGCACGGTGGCCTTCACGAGACTTGAGCAAGCGAGCGGTACCGCCGTGGTGGTGGTCAAAGATCCACAACTTGATCGAGTTATCCGTACCCGACGACAGCAAGAGTGGCTCATTGGCCAGAAACTGCAGCGATACCACTGCACCATCATGTGCACCAGTAATGACTGACTCAAGGCGTTTGCTCTGCAGATTCCACACTGCAATATCACCCGACCGCGATCCTGAGACTACCAGCGGCGTAGTCGAAGCACCTGCATCCGTTCGAAAAGACATGGCTGTGATTCCACTTTGCTGTTCCTGTCGAAAGTCCAGCACAGGTTGGTCCAGTTGCAAGTGGTGTACCATCAGTCGTCCATCTGCTAACCCGACACTCACGACGTCTACTGCCGGACTCTGTTCCAGTGCTGTGACAGCACTACCCCATCCCTTAAAGTCGTAAATGCATTTCATCTTGCGAATGTTCCAGAGTTGCAAAACACCTTGTGCCGATCCGACCAAAATCTTGTTCAAATATGTATCCGGATGAAGCATAATTGTAGGTGTAAAACTTATCTGAAATGTCAATGTATTGACAATGTCCATTGTATGCAAGTCCCATATCTTGATACAACCTTCATCATCGAGCGAGAAGAGAATGTTGCTGCCCACTGTCAGCAGCTGCTTAATAGTACCTTTATGACCCAGCAATGTCTTGATCCTATCCAGTCGGTTCCAGATAATAATTTGGCACCCACAGGCCGTAAAAGTCAATTGTTTCTTGGGTTGCACAGCCAGCGCTGATATGCGCTTGGGCAATTGGGGAGACACTAACACGGGCGTCAATTTGTCACATTTGTACACGACGAATGACTTCCCTAATGATGCAGTGGCAAAGCTAGCTTTGCCCATACCGTACCACACAATTGACACATCATCAACCACAATGCCAATTGCACGAAAGGCTTGCAGCACGCGGCTGTTCTGAGTGCGTGTCAAAGTGTCACTGGACATGGCTTTAGTAGCAGCTAAAGACGATTCTGGTGCGTGTTTCTGCATGCAACGCACAGACTTAGATAGAGATAAGTTTCACCTTTTTACGATGTAATGGGTGCTCCAAAACTAAGCCGATTAACAGCGTAACGTGCAGTTGAATGAAGAGATCAGAGTCACTTGTGTTGGTGGTCTTGGAAGCTTTGCGAATTGACTGGAACCGAGACATTTCGTACTTAAATGGATGTATACCAAATAGGCAGCAAAAAAGTGTATCCATATGTTATCCATTTAGGTAACTGGTCTCTAGTCTTCGTACACATGGGTACATATATATATGCACATGCAAGGTGGTCTTTAGATCGCATGTGCAATACATATAGGTCCTATTCAGAAGTTTTGGCCTTCTTCACGATTGATTTAGCAGCAGCAGCAGCATCATCAGGAGCCTCTGCATTACCATACGTTAGAGCACGTTTCTCGCGGGTCTTGCCTAGCACCTTTCGCGCCAGCTCGTTGGCCCAGAAACGTTCTGCCAGCTTCTTCCCAAGCTCTTCAGCTTCCGTACGAGGTCCGGAGATACTTTCTGCAAATAGTATGCAAAAAATAAATGCAATTGAGTACTAAAGGACGAGATCTCTGCATTGAAATGCTTAAATCATCATTGAACATACCGTGGACGCTCTCCTTGCCGTCACGAGACAGAACCGTCGAGTTTAACGTCAGTATGTCTTCATCAAGCGTTGCACTCACTCCCATTGCAATCTACAACATTCGTAACGTCAAAAGTCACTGCAAATACATTTCATATGCAAAGCCCACATACCTGACATTCACCTTTAAGGTCCGCGTGGACGTGGAGTCGCTTCGCGAACTCATATCTCCACTTCAGCAAATGGGTTCTCCTTACTTTGTAGCCGGTATATTAGCTGTACGTCTTGGCTACCATCTCGTTGCAGGTTTGACGTCTGACGGTGCTGTATCTGCCGAGAACGAGTCGATTAAAGTGACACCAATGGTGGCGCAGTATTTGGCTCGTAAGAAAGAGTATCCAGGTGAAAACAATAACAATGTAGACCTCTAATATACATCTTTGTAGTAAGAGTAATGTTCTATATACTTGTGATGTGTATGTGCGTTGCAGACTGCATGCTTCTGTTCCAAGTAGGAGACTTTTACGAGTTTTTCGGGGATGATGCAAGACAAGCAGCTCATGTAATGAATAATGACGAGAAAAATGGGGAGGAAATAAAGGAGTTATGATTGATCATATTTCTGTACTGTGAGTAGCTGCTGAACTTGGCACTAACGAGAAAGACCAAGAAGACGCAACACGTGCTGAGTGAAATGTGCGGATTTCCGATTGGATCCGTGGATACGTTCGTGGAAAAGCTGGTAAATTGTTATAGGTTTAGTGTGAATAAAAGGCTTGTATTGAGAGTTTGTTGTCGCTGATGCGAGTAGGTCATGCATCATGGCGTGAAAGTAGCCATTTGCAATCAAGTCGAGGTGAGTTGGTTGGTATATGTTGATTGTCTGCGAGTGTCTTGATTCTAGTTAGTGAGTGTCTGTACGGCGTGCTTGTGTGGAAGTCCAGAGTGCATCAAGTGCGAGAAAGAAAGGGTACAACTCTCTTGTAGACCGTCAAGTTGTACGGATTGTCACGCCTGGGTCACTGGTGGAGGATACGATGCTCACACCAAAGGAGAACAACTATCTCGCCTCTCTCTTTTTTGATAGAGGCACGTGGGGCCTTGCTTGGGCTGACCTATCTACGGGTGAGTTCGTGTCAACCACGTCTACGAGCGACAAGCTTTCCAGCGCAATTTTGCGGTGCTCACCAAAAGAAGTTTTGCTGCCAAGTTCATTGATTGAAAATGGATGCGAGGAGACTAAGTCGCTGCAGGTAAATATGCCTCAGGAGGCCGTTACCATACTGGAGACAGTGCTTCCTGACACTTGCATGAAAACATTTCGGCCTGCTGCAAGTTTTATCCCGCAAAAAGTGAGTAGCGGGTGTCAAACCTGTAGCGTTGCCATCAAGACACTTGCTTTATCTGAACAGGCAGCGATCTCAGCAATATTGGATTACGTGGACTTTACCCACCGTGGATCACGTGCATTGATCCGGTTACCTCTTCATGTTGAATCTTCTGACCACATGATTATCGACATGAGCGCCTGGAGAGGACTTGAGCTTGCAAAGTCGCTTAGTGGTTCAAAAGCATCGAGTTTACTTCAGGCTATTGACTCTACTATAACGCCTGGTGGATCACGGCTTCTTGCGGTAGGTATCAATGCTGCTCACTTACTGTTATATAACCGCACCGACACTGACGACTTGTCAACGTATTGTAGGCTCATTTAGCATCACCGCTAATGAACCTTGAGATTCTCGAGCGTCGATTGAATGCGGTTTCTTATTTCTATGAACAGGAACGTTTACTTCAACGCATGCGAAAACAACTAGCAGAAGTCTTTGACATGGAACGAAACATTCAGCGACTATCAATTGGTGTCGGCACCCCAAAAGATCTGAAGAATGTGGCGTCTACCATCGATGAAGCCATAAAGTTGATTGATCTTGTAAAGGCTAACGAGCGCCTTAGGCATAGCCGTCTTCCAGATCTGCCTGGAAAAGAGCTCTTGGGCTTACCAAAATTACTGGAAGAATGTTGCAATGACCTTACTGCAAATGAACAGCAGGGCGAGAACATTAAAAGGGCATCAGAAGAAATTCATAGAGCACTTAAAGACGACTACGCATCACTCAACTCCAAAACTGGATTTGTTCGCGTTGGATACTCCCCAAAGCTCGACAAGTGGCAAGCTATTCTGCAGCATGATCCTAGAGCCTCTGAAAAGCAGGGGCTACAGGCCAAATACCGCGAATTAGTAGGATCCACGCGGCTTCGTGTTGCTTTCCAGACAGAAAAAGGTTATTTTCTCGATATACCGCATGATGAAAATGCCAAACTGCTGAAAACGGATCGTGGACGACGAGAGCTAGAGAAGCTAACGTTATTTCAATCTTTGAAAAACTCAGTGCGGTATCGCAGTGAAGAGTTGCAACAGCTAAATCACGAACTTGCAGAAGCCGCAGTGGAGGTAGAGCGCGTGGAGAACAACATCTTTGCATCATTGCGTGACCAAGTTTTGATCGTGCGAAATGAATTGCAATCCATGGCTCATGCCATTTCCCAAATAGATGTTGTCTGTTCTCATGCTCAAGTGGCTCTCGACCGCAACTTTACCCGACCACTACTGGATGGTAGTTGCGAATTGCATGTTAAAGATGGTCGACACGCTGTGGTCGAAGCTGCGCACCTTCGAGGTTCCAACTCTCGTGGTATGCGGGCTTTCGTGCCCAATAGTCTGCATCTAGCAGAAGCCCCAGTCGGATCGTGCTGGTTGCTTACAGGCCCTAATATGGGTGGAAAGAGCACCTTTCTACGGCAAAATGCGCATCTTGTGATCCTGGCGCAAATAGGGAGCTTTGTCCCGGCAAAATTTGCTCGTGTCGGACTTGTGGACAAGCTTTTTTGTCGAGTTGGATCAGCCGATGATGTAGCGGCTGACAAAAGTACTTTTATGGTAGAAATGCAAGAGACGTCGACAATTTTGACGCAAGCAACGAGTCGGTCGTTGGTTTTAATGGATGAAGTGGGTCGTGGAACTGCTGTGAACGATGGCATTGCAATTGCTGGTGCTGTTCTTGAAGCATTATGTGCAAGACAGACCCGTACCCTGTTTGCCACACATTTTACTGCATTGATTGACTTGGTCGGAGAGACGTGTAAGAATGAGCTTCGACCCTATCGAATGGAGGTTCTTGAGCATCAAATGGAAGGGCAAGCCATACATCTCGTGTTTTCACACCGTGTGGTCAAAGGCCTTGCTTTCCAATCGTATGGTATCAATACTGCAGCTCTCGCTGGCTGCCCACCTTCAGTGATTTCGCGTGCGACGGAACTATTGGATAAACTGACAGCTTCTAGCGGATAAACCGAGATAAATCGTGCTGTACCGGTACTTTATTCGTAGGTTCTTGTGTCCCACATGATCTTCATAATCTTCCAAGTCACTCTTTGTGAACGTCCACTACGTCCACATGTCGTCCACTCGTAAGCGTACGATCTTCGTCTCGTCCCGGAAGAGCCAATTGGCCATGGCACAGACCACGACTGTCATTTGTATGCTTGAATCTCGCTTCTCGGATATTAATTTTGTTGTAGGACAGGAGGACACAGTGGGGGACCAGGTACTGGATCGTCATTTAAGTGACTTGGGCACGTCCACTACCTCTGGTCTCTTTACCAAGAGCCTGGAAGAAGCATTGCTGGCCAAAACTGCCAGCTTTGCTGTACATTCACTCAAGGACATGCCTACGACGCTACCGGACGGTCTTGTATTGGCTGCCATTACAAAGCGAGAGAGTCCAGAGGACGCAGCAATCATCCATCCCAAGCACAAAGCCAAGGGTCTCAAGACACTTAAAGAGCTGCCCAAAGGAAGCGTCATTGGCACGAGTTCATTGAGACGTGAAGCTCTGGTGAGGAGCCAATTTCCAAGCTTCAAGATCAAGACACTGAGAGGGAATATCCAGACGAGACTAGCGAAATTGGACAAGGCCGATGACTATGACGCAATCATTGTTGCGGCTTGTGGTTTCCGACGTGGAGATTTAGGTGAACGGATTGATGAGATTCTTCCAATGGACACGTTTGGATACGGTGTTGGACAAGGAAGTATTGGTGTTGAATGTCGCGCAGACGATGAAGAGGTGAGAAATGAATGGACAAAGTGGAGAAAACCGCGTCTTGTGTGATGGTGTGTGAGTGTCTTCCTTCTGATGGTTACTTTTGCTCTCTGGTTGTAGACGATCAAGATGCTCAAGACTATTACGGATGAAACATCGGCACAGCTGTGTATGGCTGAGCGTAGTCTGCTTTATCACCTTGAAGGTGGATGTCAGGTATATGGGCTTTGTATAAAAGAAGTATTTGCAGTGACTTTTGACGTTACGAATGTTGTAGATTGCAATGGGAGTGAGTGCAACGCTTGATGATGACATACTGACGTTAAACTCGACGGTTCTGTCTCGTGACGGCAAGGAGAGCGTCCACGGTATGTTCAATGATGATTTAAGCATTTCAATGCAGAGATCTCGTCCTTTAGTACTCAATTGCATTTATTTTTTGCATACTATTTGCAGAAAGTATCTCCGGACCTCGTACGGAAGCTGAAGAGCTTGGGAAGAAGCTGGCAGAACGTTTCTGGGCCAACGAGCTGGCGCGAAAGGTGCTAGGCAAGACCCGCGAGAAACGTCCTCTAACGTATGGTAATGCAGAGGCTCCTGGTGATGCTGCTGCTGCTGCTGCTAAATCAATCGTGAAGAAGGCCAAAACTTCTGAATAGGACCTATATGTATTGCACATGCGATCTAAAGACCACCTTGCATGTGCATATATATATGTGCCCATGTGCACGAAGACTAGAGACCAGTTACCTAAGTGTATAACATGGATACACTCTATGTCCCTCCGATACCTCATGAGGTCCGTGCCGCACTTCAACCTTCACCACAATAATCTCCTGGCCTGTTTCCTGAACATTCGTGGCTTCGACAGTAGCGTCGCGGTCACCGTTCACAGCACGACTTGTCGCACCTTCCTTTTGATCATCTTTGACGCAGATCACGAGTCCATCCACTTGCTCCAGAAGCTTGTGCTTTAGCTTGTATTTTAGCGTTATGGAGATCAAAGCCTAGGTTTATTGAAGACACCTCCTCCACGAAATCGATGCCGTCCAGCTTGTTAATAGCATCGAGCTCAGCCTGCAGCTTGGTACCACGCTTCTCGTCTCGGCGGCGAGTTTTATACTGAACGATGATCCGTCTCAGAAGAAAAGCTGCGGGTTGAAAGCCGTCAAGCCTAGCTCATTTACAGACCGAAAAAGCATGAAGCACACTATCGGAAGGTCGCGGCACAACTGGATGAGTTAAGAAACAAGTTCTGCATCTTGTACCTTTTCAAGTCTCAAGTACGTGCTTTAGGGGCTCGTTTTAAAGTCGGATCCTCCTTATTGGAGTATCAGCAGTTACAGCGACCGCTTTGAGCGTTGTAAAATGCCACGATGACTACATTCTCGTGCCTTCATTGCCCTCATCGCCACTCTACCCTGTCATCACATTTATCGATCACAGCTTGGGCTTTTCATTTAAAGTTCAATTTATTTATCCAGACTTGGCTAGATGTCGTTACACTCTGTTTCTATGAAGTCTTTTCGTTCTTGATTACAACATATAGAAACACTAAGAACGCATGATCACGAGTTTTTTCTTATCAAGACAAGATTTATACAAACTTACACACATACATAACTTAAGAAACTTCAATAGCTGCCTCGACCCCATCGCTTCAAATGTGACAGCAATACCAACATGTGTACTGACGTGTAGTTACTTGACAAAATTGTCAGCATTCCAAAGCACATCAGCGCTGTCAATTCGAGTCGTGGCAGAGGTTCTGGTAGCATGTGGTTAATCCTCTTTTCCTTTAGCCACTTATATGATTCATGCATTTGACGTTGTCGGCCTTAGTCGTCTACGGATGCAAGATCAAGGTGACATTATTTCCTTCAATACTTAGTACTATGCCATCGTTTATAGCGTCTCGGCTTCAATTTGTCACGGATGCGAGTGTAAAGCATTTTTGCAGCCATCTTCAACGCTGATTTAAACCCGTACTTGCGTGGCTCCTTATAAGACTTTTGACGAAAGACTGTAATCTCTTTACCTGCGCCATCCTCATGTTCGTTACCCAAATGAGTGGTATCAGATGCTCCACCTTGAGCCAAGTTTACGGCATTAATTTCTCCTTCACTAGCATGTATTGCAGCATTTGCATCTCTCTTTGGTTGTGAGGATCCGATCAATTCGTTTTCTTCTGTCACTCCTTGCTTCAATCTGGCTGATTTCGTACGCTTCTCCAACGCGCCTATTTTCTTGGCCATAACATCGGCATTGGTTTCGGCCCCGCCTTCGAATTTTTCTAACGTCTCTATGACCTTTTCAAACAACTCTCCCTCGCCTATGCGCATCCTCTCTTCCAAGTCATCGATATCAGTC